CACAAAGTTCAGATTTTATCATAAGTTAAGCTTTTCATTTTAGGTTTCTCGATGGAATTAGAAGATGTGTAAAACTGCTCCCAATTGAGGTTATTTTTGATTGTTATTTTCTCTAAAGGAACCAACCTGCAGCAGCAGCGGTGCCCCACAGCAGAGTCCAGATGATGCAGCAGCCCTTCAGCAGCATGTTGACCAGATTCAGAGTGTTTGCCAGAAAACAGGGGTTTTCAAGATGAGGGGGCAGGGACTATTTATATAGTCCACGCCCACTGATCATGTGCTCTGCTTTAACGGTCGGTAAATAAAACCTAGGAGGAAATCTCATTCCCTCTTTACAGTCATTCACGTTAAGGCTACAGTATCTATTGAATCTCACACACTGACAATTTTAAAAATATAAATGTGGAGATAACTCAGAGTCAAAGAGTCTCAGTAATTGTGATATTCTGACACTTGAATATTCTTTTGGAATCCACCAAATTTAACACTGTGTTTTCTACACATTATTTATTTCAGGTCCCGTGTTCTGGTTTCCGGTGCGCCTCCTACCAAACAAACCTCTTGAGTTGTCCCTGGTTTTCAGGGGTCATTTAAGTCTTTCCCCAATAAAGAATATTTGCTTAAAGATGTGTTTTGATTCTTATGTATTGGCATGGTGTGGCGACTAGAATAGATCTCAGGGCTTCCCAAAGATAGCCATAGTAAGGTGTATAGGCAGCGATTCCCCTCACTAACCTCTGACACACACCCAATCATTTTGTTCTGGAATCAAGCCGGAAATATGATTGAAATTATTTATCAGAAAAAAGACAAACAATGGTTACCCTAGCAGGTGTCCTCAGGATGGGAAAGGGGAGGGTTAAAATCGTGAATAGCTCAACATGGCAGTTCTAAGTGTTAATTGTCATTCTGTCTACAAAATGCAATGAAAAATACATTCACAAGGCTCGTTTTAATTAAAAAAATCCAATACATTGTTCTATCATCTGTTCAGAGAAAAGTAGTAAAACATCACATTTGTAAAAGAATGTTTTGTGTTTTTAACGATTTGATGAACTTTCTTAAATATGCAGAACTGATCAATTGAAATCAAACCACCAAAATTTGTAAGCGAAATACTTTCTGCAAAGTTTTTAATGAGAATCTTAGCAGTCAATCAGAAAAGTGAAAACGCAGTATTTGGTTATATGAGCTTTGCTAAGCTAAGTTAATCGGGTCTTTCAGGTGGTAAGGTTGTGCATCAGAGTCTTGCTGCTGTTCCTCGGTTGATCTGGTGTTGCCGTCCGGTTGTGGATCCACTCAAGGTAGTTGGACACTCGGGTGTAGATGCCATAGTTCCCCGGTCGGGCGCAGCCCTTCCCCCAGCTGACGATCCCCAGCAGGAAAGTCGTCGTCTTATACTGGGTCACCAGGGGTCCACCGCTGTCACCTTTACACGAGTCCTGACGACCCTCAATATATCCGGCGCAAAACATGTTCTGAGTGAGCACTACGCCACTCTCATCGACACAGTCCTGCGTGCGGATTCGCGGCACCTTCAGGCGTCGAAGGATCTGTGCGGTAGGCCCATTTTCGCTCCGCTTCCCCCAGCCACTCACTGTGTGCAGCCGGATCATCCAGAGCACACGGGTGGATAGATTCCATGTAGGTAGGCAGACTGGGACAGCATACTGGGTATAGATGATGGGAGAAGCCAGGCGGAGGAGAGCGATATCATTGTCTGCAGTGCTTGATACGTAGTTTTCATGCATGATAATCTCAGCCACCTGGATGAGCTGCTCGGTGCCTTCATTCACCGTAATGTCATGCTCACCTGACAGAAAGAAATATAAGGCAGCTCAGATTTAATCCTTTGAGCACAATTCAAAGTTAAATTGAGATTAATTAACAGTGATTTGAAGTATGCTTGTGTATTTTCATTGTCTAATGAAAAGATTTATAGACAGGTAGCCTCCTATTTTTTTTTAGGGTTGTCATCATTTTAAGAGGTTTAGACTCCTGTCACTCTCCTGTTCTGCTTCATAAGTCAGGCTTGCTTGAACAGACGGCATATTTAACTATGAGAGTCATACCTGCAATGACTTTCAGGAACTGGACCACGATGTCTTCCATGCAATGAGAAGCTGTGATGATCCATGTAGGTTTATAAATCACTCCTCCACAGAAACCTTTTCCTTTATACATCAGCAATACCTTCACACAACACAAGAGCACATTTTGTCTGAGCCTTCAAAAAGGATAAAACACACAAAACTAAATTAATATTTGTTGTTCAGAACCAAAATCTGGTTTCGATAGAATCTAAGAGATTAGATACCCTTTTATGTTAGGAGACTCTCTGCTACCCTGGACGCTTAGTTAATAAAAAATCAGACATATTTAAACCGATGAACTCTTCCTTTATCTTGGGCCTACCTGCCAGGGGCATTCACCTTTAGGACATACAGTTCCTCCAACGATTCGGAGATGCTCCTCCTTTTCTTCACCCCGCAGTATGGGGACCATGCCACATGCTATCGGCTCTGAAACAATAACAAATTATTCATTATTAATTTCATTTTGCAAATAATATCAAACTGCAGCTCCGGTTTAACTTTTACTAGTTAAAGGTTTTACTGGTGCACTAGAACTATTTAAGTGTTCTAAGCAATTGTTTATACACTGATGACACACACATGTGGTGGTGGGGAGGTTGGGGGTATAGAGGGCTGGTTTAAAGTAAAACAGGAATTTCATAACTGTTTAGTGCAGCAGGGAGTCCAAAGGTTGATTAGTGAGGCCTGTA